TTGCACTAAGTACTAAACCAATAAATCTAGAAAACTATGTACAATTAATTTACAATGAACACACAGAGCACTGGCTAAGACAAGACAAGCGATTCCAATGACTCACAAGCTGAAGGAACTGATGAAGCTTGGGGGCAGCTGGGCCTTTTATACCACCATGTGGCAGCAAAGGATGCTCAAGCCACCCGATGGGTACCACTGAGTGAAAATTTTCTGACGACTATGAGCACGAATATTAAGAGTAGAATGGACATGTGCAATTTCTCGAAGAAATGTAACTAATGACAAAACATGTAAGAGTATAAATATTAAACAGTCTGTTTTAAAATAACACCACCACATCCATCTATTTTAACCAAACAAAGGCATGTAAATAGATTTTGGAAAAAAATTAAATTTAGTGCACATGCAGCGTGAGAAAGCTTAGCTCACATTGGTCTGATGTGAAAAGCAGGATTACACATTCCCTTTTGGAAAAACATTTTACACAACATTTCAAGCTCAGGAAGCCACCATGTCAATGGACAGACAGCTTAATTAACTCAACCTACTGGAAATAAAACTAATAGCAATCTACTGCTATAGTTCATCTCTGCTTAAAATTTTAGAATACTTTAAACAATACAACTCTACATGCAAACTTAATCACTATACCAATTTTTTTTTGATAAATACTCAGACCACACAGGGAACATTTCCAGAAACCTAAATCATAATATTCCAATAAGAATTTAGTATTACATGGCGGTTTCTTTCCCTCGCAAATCTTTTTATACTAAACAAAATAAAGCCTAATCTAACCTACAATAAAAGTAGGTGTCTGCACTATGTACAGAGAACAATAGGAATGGAGGACAGGGTTGTTGTTCCCCCTCTCTCCCTTACAAGAGACTCTTCTCATGGATATTTGCATGGTACTTTCATATAATGCTTCCATGAACCTTGTATGTTTTACATATTAGGGGAGCCTAGAAAAACTAGTAACAAGACCAGAAAGTAAAATGAGATTTAACTTGTGAAGGTGCAAATTAAAACATCTGGAAAACAGTCACAAAACACAGTATTCAGTGGCCGTGAAAACAACCGCATATTGCCAATGATCTTCCAAAATGAGGACTGCGGATCTTTGCAATTACCCACTGCAATATGGCTATACCATTCATTAAGGCCTAAGTAATTAATTGAATGTGAATACCTAGGAATTCTACTACTTCAATTTCCACACAGAAAACATTAAATGGGCACTCAGATCAGAAATGCAACAGCTACGGTTCCATGTACAACCTTAATTCTTTTCTTTTTGCCTGTGCATTAGGGTAGTCTGTAATCATGGAATCAAATTATTTCACAAATAATAGAAGAACAAAAGTATGCAGTGATTTGAATGATTTGCATTCATCTTTAGAATCTGTCTAAAGATCAAACTGAAAACTATATTTTTTTTAAAAAAGTGACAAACCAAAAAGGTCTTAAAAAACTTGGTTTGGATCAAAATGAAATAGCTTATAGTTGGAAACCTCTCCCCTTACCACCCACAAATAAAGACAAAGTGCAAAAATGGCTGAGAGTTACAAACTACCGATGAAAGGAGGGCTGGCAGTGAACTTTAAAAAAATGAAAAGCTATAAAATTAATACAATCATATTACTAGGGGAAACCCTTTTTCTGTTATCAATCTACTGGAGACTACTTTTTCCTAGTGGAAAAATTAGTTGCATAAGCTTTACTTAAGTTATTTTAATTGAACAGAAAAGGCTATATTAAAAGACCATTATGCTTGCTAAGTCAAGCACTCAAAAGTTAGTAAATGACAGAATTAAGGTTGCCTGTGCACTACGGCACAGTTTTTAATTACAGGATAACATACTATTTTTTCTACAGCACCCTGTCTTCATCTGTGCCCAGGATGAATGGTGCTCACTTAGTGAGTAATTATTTGATATTTTGTTTTCTCCTCATTGTTCAGTATGTGTAGAGCCCTGTGAAATTCTTTTTTCTTTTCAATAATTGTTCAGAAATTTTGTTTTATCTCCTGGGAGGGAGATAAAACAAAATAAAATGAACATTGCAGAAAAATTCCCAGGGAGGGAAAAGGGCCTGGAGAGCAAGCCTGCTTCAGTCTAGTGAAGAAGGAAGGTCCTAAGGGACAGTGCTGGAGACTGAGACCACCCTGCATTCACCCTGCAGCAGTGGCTCTAAATGTAGTGCCCTGGCACATGAAGTCGCAGCACTGCTCAGTTTTGGCCCAGTTGCCCCTCTGTTATCATGACAGAGGAGTGGCCAGGCTAAACCTAAGCAGCACTGTGACATCATGCACCATTTTTTTTAGTTTTATGGTGTTTTATGTTGTGTTATTTCCCATTTGCGAAAAATACGAGGCTCTAAATATGTGGCTCCAGGCTTCACTTACCACACACTATTCAAACTCTGCCCAGAAGGCAGAATTACTGATCTCCTCATAGACTTTTTCTATGGTACCCTTACAGTATTTCTTCACAAACATTAATATTCTATTTTCACACTATCCCTCTGAAATGAGAGGGTAGGATCATCCACATTGTATAGATGGGGAACTGAAGCAGAGAGAGATTAAGGTCAAAAGTTCCCACTAATTTTCTGTGCCCAATTTGAAAAACTTAGGACTTGATTTTTTGAGAATACGTAGCATAATACAGCAATTATTATGTTCAAAGCATGACTTCAGTTGAAGTCAATAGGAGCTCTGAGTGTTCAGTACTTCTGCAAGTGATACCCCAGGGTCTCAAGACAGGCACCCAGAAAAAGAGGAACACAATTATTAGTGGCTATCTCTGAAAAATTTGGTTAAGGGACTTCCTACCATCATATATGAACTCTGTGGTAGAAGCCTGAGTAGAACCCAATTCTCCAGCATTCATCAGCTGCCTGAACTGAGAGACCAACTTTCTCTTTCTGAAATGCCCTGCCTCATTCACTACACACCCTCCATCTTCTGCAACAAATGAGGCAGGAGTCCTACAGACAACAGCCTGTTTTACTACACAACTTGATTGATCCGGTGGAGGAAAAAAAAGCGAACATGTAATTAAGGACCAATATAATGCACAGGCAAGCTTAATTCTGGCATTTCCTAGTGTGCTTGACTTAATAATGTTCTTTTAATATTGCTTTTTTAATAAGGCTAGGAAGTTGCACACAAAAAAACCCCACCCAAACAAATTCTATCATGTGCCAACATATTAACACCTATAGATCAGACAGGCTCCCAATTCTCAGTTCCAGCGCCTGGATCTGGCACAGACTAGAGCAACCAGGAACTGCAATTGCAGGGGAAGTCCTGCTCAATCAGCTGAAGTTCTGGGCTGCAGCACATTCTTAATAGGCAACTTTAATAATAGGCAGTGCTATGAGCCCCCATCCTTTCATGTATTTGTACCTGCTCCTGTATTTTTCACTTCATACATCTGATGAAGTGGGTTCTAGCCCAAAAAAGCTTATGCCCAAATAAATTTGTTTGTCTCTACGGTGCCACAAGGACTCCTCGTTTTTTTTGCTGATACAGACTAACATGGCTACACTGAAACCTGTAATAAAATGAACGATTCATACTCTAATAGCAATAACCATGTCAGCATGGACACTTGTATTACAGGATATTGATGCATTTTTAGGACGGCTGAACCTCATACCTCTTGATAAAACTAAAGTATGTGCCAGTGCAGGACCACTGTGGATTTTCATATTGGAAACTAAAATAATACAGCCCCATTCCCCGAAATTGCTGCTCTTGGCCCAAGATACATGTTGACATGAAATTTGAAATTTGCTGCCTTTTCAAATCTCAAAATCTTATTCAAATTTAAAATATGAAGAAAAGCATTTTGATAGATGAGATTTGCAAACAAGTTTAGAATCACGTCCTCTGAGACTAGTATTAGAGTAATGAGACATGCACAAACTTCCAAGACACCAGTGCTAAAGCACTGATATCATAATCAGTTTGTGTCAGATGGGTAAGATTTGCTCTGAGGCTTAACTTGCAGTATCAGCACAGCATTAGTATCACAGTGATCTTTCTGCCACTCCATGCTAGCTTTACTGAAGAGAGAACTATCAGGAAATCCTGCTTTGGCATCAGTATTTTCATTAGACCCAAGCTTCAGAAGCTTTTTCAGAGTGGGATCTATCTCAGAGGTGACCACCTCCTCTATTTGGAACTCTGCAGCCTCACTGTAGCAACTATTGAACTGCTTTATCTTTTCTTTAAAAAAGGATAATTTTATTTCATCTCCCCATCCCATCTCTCATTTCTCTCCCCTCCATGTTTCCTTATACATTATTCTCTGTGCCTCGTTTCCCTTCTTCTCTGATCTCATGGACATTCTTTCTCCAGTATTGGCTCTGCCCCATAAGCAGCTTCTGTTTTTACTTCTGCCAGTTCTGGTTCCAGAGGGCTGATTCCATATTCTCTCTTTTTCTTAAGTAGCTACTGGCCCAACAGAAAAAGGCAAGAGCTGAAACTCTTCTTGTTATTAAAAAAGGAACTGAGAGGTACTAATCAAGAATACACTAAAGTTACTAAGAATCTAAGAGGAAAAGATTAACTTGTTATATAGAAAGTTTGATCCTCATTTGAGGTAACAAATTCTGATACAGTAATCTCCTGACGTGGCAGTATTTCCTAGTGGTGCCCCCGTTTCCATTGAAACAATCATGGAGAGGCAGGAAGATTACAGGACACTAGATTTAGTCTCATGGTACTTAAGAATCTAGACAACCATAACATTAACTTAATTTTCAAATATATAGCAAGAAACGCTTAAATACCACTATCCAGGATTTTACATCTCAAACCTATACATGACCAATAAAACAATTTCCTGCAAGCCTCCGCAAATTATTGATTAAGTATTCTAATAACTGATTGACTGTGGTATTGATAAATATACATCTTTCAGAATAAATTGCCTTGTTTTGTTTACATCTCCCGTGTGCTGCCTACCAAGTCCTAATCATCCTACCTTAGCAGCCCTGACAGCCTTAATTTTCAGCAGCATATCAACAAACGCCACTCGCACTTTCTCAGAATTGTCATGGAGACTGTATTTTACTGTTGGCAGGAGCTGTTCCAATAATGGGTGGCTTAGTTTGTTGTCCAAAATTATAGGCAGACACTGCAACAGAAATATCACACTGAATAAAAAAAACCATAAAAATAGCAGACATACAAAAACTATACTAAAATTATTAAAATTACTAAACTTAAGGCTAAATATAGTGGCAGATGTTTCATTTACGTATTTTTTTCTATAATTATCTTTTAAAAGAAAGTATTAAAGAGCAACTCAAAATCTCTTATTAATGCCTTTCATTTCAGATGAAGTGGTTTTACATTGTAAGATCTTCTGACCTGAGGCAGTGTTTTTGTTCATCTCTTGTACTTGAGGAATACGTTTATGCCCAGGAAGTCAGTCTTTCTGACATTTGTTAGATGGAGTTGACCAATCAATCCTGGTATACTGAACAACTATCTGGGGAACAGCCTTCCCCTACACACAGACAGTAATATATGCATCCAACCATGGGAAGACTGACCATGGGGTACAAAACACAACACTTAAACGCAGTCTTTTTTTTCCAGGTCTCTCTCTCTGGGTCACACATGATGCCTTGGAACCAACCTGGAAACATTTTCTACACAGTTGTGTGATTAAGTATAAAGATTTAGTGATTTACAATTATCTGAACAAGAAAGTCTGGTCAAAATACTAAACCAAGAGCATGAAGAGGAGGGCTTTCCACCTTCAGATAACCAGAGAGAAGAATTGAGGTGGTCAGGGATCACACAGCTACTCAAACTCAGCTCTAAATGTTTGGTGCCACAAGGGGCTGCTTGTTCATTCCCAGAAGGCATTTTTTCTAGAAGGTTTGCACAACTTAAATACCAGGAAGTACATCTCAAGGGAAATTATGCAAAGACCAACTCGGAGAAAAATCAAAAGTTTTTATAAAAAGCACGCCTTCTACTGAAGTTGACCCTTAATAACCTCCGTCACATGCTTCAAAGAATACCTAAAAATTTACTATCAATACAAGTTTTTAAAGTCGGCATATTAAACTTACCTTAAAAACAGAACAACGAACATCAGCTGAAGTTACATCAAAAGCCAGATCTCCAATTAGTTTTTTTAAAAGCTCAGCAAGGATGGTTGCAGGAATCATGTCCCAGTATTTGGATGTTATTTTACTAACACCAAGTACCCCTGTAGAGCGGACCAATGGTTGAGGATCTTCTAAAAGACTCTATAAACAAAGAAGAAGAGGAAACAAATTTCATGTATGCATCATCATGCTGTCTGTTGATATTTAAAAGAAGAAAAAAATCATCGCTATTAGCATTTAACCAAACCATACAAGATGTGATAGCATGAAATATTTCCATATCTGGAATACTCTCCAAATGAGTGTTTATTGCTATTATTAAATAATTTTTAGTTAGAAAACAAAAGTAAGATAAAAATATTGACGATGATTTTCCAAAACATCACCCTAAAGTTAGGCTCTTAGAGTAGAATTTTCAAAAGTGAAAGTCAATGAGACTTGTGCATGAAAGTCACTTAAACAATTGAAAATCTCACCCCTAAGGTTCATCTTTATGAACCTAATTGTCAAGTCTCACTGTTCACTGTTCGAGAGGGAATGACCTTAAAACCTGGAATTTCCAGGAATCTTCAGTGATCAAATATTTATTCTTGTGAATACAACAATAAGTTTTCCCAAACAGAATAAAACACTGCTTTAGGAATAAACTGGCCAGCCCTCATGTTTCTAATTCATTATTTTAATTCTTAACTCCCCCATACTTCTGTTTAGATACTCCATCATAGGAGCTGCAGATATTTAATATTAGGCATTCATTGTAGAACCACAAAGTTAAGTAATCAAGTGTAGAGCCCTTCTCACCCATTGTATCCTAAGTAAATAGGACATGAATGTATGTAACCAGTGTCATCTGGCTTTCCTAAGCGCTCTCTCAGTTTTTTGAACCATACTTGTAGCTCAATTAATGTAAACCCAGACCCCCACTTCATTAGCATTTAGGCCCCTTTCCAAAACGTTGCTATTCCACCAGAAATGAGAGTGCACAAGATTAAAGGAATTTAATTGCATATTTCTGCACTCTTTCTTGTGGGTAACATTCTCAATCCCCTTACGCCATTAATTGCAGTACATGCATTTCAAATGGTCTTACTGCCAAATAAATTTTGCCAAATATTTAACTTAACATTTTGTTTTCACGTTGTCTTCATGAAAACTTACGAAAAGTTCTTCAAACTGTTTCTGAATTTCATTATCCATATCCTCATTATTAAAATGGGGATCACGAATAGGAAATGCTTCGACAAACAATAATGCTGCATTTGATCGAACTTCTGAGTTTCTGGCCTGTTACAAAGGAGAAGAAAAGAAATTGTTCATGAATTGATACTCTTTATTAAAACTTATTTGACAAATATTCTTCAAATCACCATCATCAGTTTTGTACTTCTAATCAAGTACGAATTCTAATAAAGTAATTGGATTAAACATAATTTATAACAACTTCTACATCTCACAGTTCAAAGTTCTGCCCAACCAGTAAATTCTAGGTTAGCTGTAAATTGAGTTCTCAGAGCATATTGGCTTCAAAGACGCAGAGGATTCACACTTGGAGGAGTGCCATCTTGTTTTGGCCTAGAATAGTTAAAGTCAGTTAGCACTGCTACAGGCCTTCAAACATGTGCTCTGTGATAGAGAAGCTGCAGCTATAAAAGGTGGTACTTTGGTCTCAACCCTTAAATTAGTGCTCAGAATATGGAAATTGAATTCAAGCAAACATACTTAGCGGTTTTATTGGAGGGGGGGGCGGAGGAGGGGGAAGAAGGAGAAAAAAGGTCATCCCCTGACACTTTTGGTGTTTGTCACTACTTGACAAATAGTGGAAATTTCGTAGAGATTTCTTTAATTAGTTTGAACATTTCATTTAATTAAACAAATAACCAATAACTGAAGTATATCATCCATCATATTCTTCAAGCAGTATGTGTATGAAAATAATTTGTAAATTTAATTTACTCCTTAAATTCAGAAAAGGCAATCTTGTAATAACCTAAAATTAGAATTTACAATAAATAAGCATTTTTGCATCAGTATCTCCTATAGCGGTCTGAAATTACTGAAAGTAGCCCTGGTCCTAGCAAACACAAGAATGCAAACATAAGAATCCTCAGTAGCTTTAAAGGGAGGATAAAACGGTTACCTACCTTTTGTAACTGTTGTTCTTTGAGATGTGTTGCTCATGTCCATTCCATTCTAGGTGTGCGCGCACCCATCTGCACGGTCCTTTGAGATTTTTGCCTTAGTGGTATCCGTAGGATCAGCTGTGGCGCTCCCTGGAGTGCCGCGCTCATGCGTCGGTATATTAGGCGCCACCAGCTCTGTGCCCTCTCAGTTCCTTCTTGCCGGCAACTTCAACAGAAGGGCAGGAGGCTGCATAATGGAATGGACATAAGAAACACATCTCGAAGAACAGTTACGAAAGGTAGGTAACCATTTTTTCTTCGAGTGCTTGCTCATGTCAATACCATTCTAGGTGACTCACAAGCAGTGTCCATGGAGGTGGGCTCAGTTCATGGTCACGCAGCTTGCAGCGCTGCTCTACCATAGCCAGCGTCGTCACAAGCTTACTGGGTAAGTGCGTAATGAGATGTGAACACGTGGTTAGGCATCAGATCTCTTGGACTGGTACCTGCGCCAGGAAGGCCACTGATGATGCCTGTGCCCTAGTTGAGTGTGCCGTCATGATTGCCGGTGGAGGCACTATTGCCAGTTCATAGCGGTAGTGGATATAGGCCGCGATCCAGGACAAATCCTTTTGAGCAGACACAGGGAGACCTTTCATTCTGTCTGCCACTGCAACGAACAACTGCGTCAACTTATGGAACGCCTTGGTCCTGTCTATGTAAAAGGCCAGCGCCCTCCTGATGTCCAGGGCGTCCAATCTGCATTCTTCATCTGACGTATGAGGCCTTTGGGAAGAAGACAGGTAAGTATATGTCCTGGCCCTCTTCATTCACAGCAGACATGACCAGTGATGCCGCTGGGGAGTGCGTGTAGGAGGTATTTGAACACTTTTGCAGGGATGTAATACTTCTTTTCCGCCTTCTAAGAAGTTGGTGGAATGGAAGAGGGGGTTTGCCACAGCGATTTGGCAATTTTAAGGACCGAGGTGGACAGGCAGCATGAACCGGGCTGGGGTGGAGGAGGATATAACATTGAAGAGGTCATTGGACTCCTCCACGACCTCCTCAATTTGTAGGTTAAAGTTAGCAGCCACCCTTTTAAGGAGGGCCTGGTGCTCCTTGAAGTTGTCAGGGGGACTGTCCGTTTGGGAGGGATCCACCCCCGCTTCATCTGGGGACAACGACTGCACCACTTGTGGAAGAGCAGGCTCCCCATCCCGCTCCAGGGACGGCTCTTTAGGTGCTGGGGTTCAGCATGCTGCCCCCACATCGGATTCGGCACCTCATTCTGATTCCGATGCTGAGGGAGCCAGGGCCAGTTGGTCCGAGGTGGCCAGGGAGGGCTGGTGGGAACATGGGACCGGCATTACTGGCACGCCCGACGGGTTCCAATACAGCCATTGAGCAGGCCACTGCCCCTGCTGCACGTTGTCCTTGCAGGTGCCGTGCCGGTCTCATGAGTCAGCAGCGCATCACCCCTTCTTGGCGAGGAGCTGAACTCCCAGTTCGACTCGGACCACTGCCCTTCTGGTGACCAGGGTGGAGCCTGAGTCTGCCGACTGACTCTGGTCGGCAACCGGTGAGGTGAGGGCGAGGAACAGCACCTTCCCAACGAACGGTACCAGGGCAAAGGGACTGGTGCTGTGTCGAGGAGCGGCCCTGCCTGGGCGGGGACCAACATCTGGGAGACTGTCTGGGCGAAGGTGAGTTGGGCTGTGGCGATCTATGATGGGAAGCTCGCCAGTACTGGTGGTACAGGACTCCGGTGCTTCGACTCCGGTGTCCCATGTCTTGTAGGTGGAGAGCGCGTTGAGGACCTGGGACTTCTAGTCGGCAACCTAGGATATGGTGCCGGAGTCCGAAGCCGCGGAGATGGAGATCTGCACCTGTGATCTGGTGATCGAGGGTGCTCCACCACCCTATGAGGTGGTCCTATGATCAGCTTGCCCTTAGATGTCGGCGTCTTAGCTGAGTCTGCCGCCTGGTGCAGTGTCTGCGGTGCCAGTCGGCCTACTTGCTCTTTAGCCGCCGGGGTCACTTTGGGAAATGAGGGCTCTGGTCGAGCTGGGGGGGTCCAACCTCCGTGGTACACCCATGAAGGGCACATGGCCTGACATTGGCCAGGAGCCGGGAGGCTCTTCTTCTTTTGCCACTTCTTAGGCAAGCCAACCCTACGGATACCGCTAAGGCAAAAAAGCCTCCGACAACTGTGCATGTGGGCACGCACACACCTAGAATGGAATAAATATGAGCAAGCACTCAAAGAAGAAAGCATTTTACTGAGTTGCAAGTAAATGAAGGCTTTTGTTCCACTGACTCACCTGGCAGATGAAGCTTTTTTAAAAATACCACTGAAACCCAACTTAAGAAGAGTAGATTGCCTTCATTCATTAAATTAAGGTTGCAAGGCAACAGTTGCCAGATGCACAGAGGGAGTCAGAAAAACAGTCTGAAAAGTAAGCATGTTTTCCTACAAAAACTACTAAAGTGAAATTTAGAAAGGATTCTGCTATTTGTTGTAGTGATGAAATTATTTGAACTGAGAATTAGGAATAGCATCAGCATTAACTATACACAAGAAAAGGTAATGCTTTTATATAAAGGTCTAGTTGCACAGCTGTTCTATTGCCATGTGTTCATCTAAATCTCAGATGTATTTCGTAAAGGAAATGTAATACTGTACATGTTCAGTACACTATTTTCAAATCACTTGTAATGCATGTATTTCCTAACCTTATTGTTTCCAAACTGAACAAAGATTACACTATAAGTTTTAAAGTTCTGCTGTTTGGCATTAGTGCAACATACCCCCCACCAAAACCCCACAACTATATAACCTTTATAAGTGTAAAATATATATTAATTATTATTTGTATTACTATAGTATCTGGAGGCCCTAGTATGGACCAGGACATCATTTGGGCTAGGTGCTGTATAAAACAGAAAAAAGTAACAGTTCCTACCCCAGAGAACGGTACAATTTAAGCATAAAAGAGAATAGATGAGGAGTACAAGAAAATAATGAGAATACTGGGGAACATGATAGGCAGTGGTCTCAGCACACCAAGGACCTAACTGTTGTCACTTTTTTGTAGGCATTATGGAAAAGGAGTTTTAAGAAGGGCTTTGAAGATGGATAATAAACGAGTTTTGCAGATGTTTACAGGGAGCATCTCCCAAATATGAGGAGCAGCGTGGGAGAAAGCACGAAGGTGCTTGTTTGGAAATTTAACAACTGGGAGATTGAGGTTGGCATCATAGGCTAATCGGAGGTGGGAATCAACTTCTTGATAGCGAATCAGAGAGGATAGCAGAGAGTGAATCAGCATAAGGACAGGACATGAAGTGCATTCAAAGTGAAAACGAGTAGCTTAAGTTTGATGTGCTAGAGAAGGGGGAGTCAGGGGAGCAATGCAAAGAAAGGGGTGACATGGTCAATGTGATGGGCTAGCAAAATGATCTTTGCATGCTCACGTAACTAAAGAAGACCTGAATATATTTTTCTGTAATTTACAAAACAAATTCACTCTTGTATTGTTACTATGATGCTCACTTCACTTATATCATGGTAAAACTGTTTATGAAAGCTATCACTGTTTCCAAGTTAGGTGGTATACAGCAAACAAGGTTAGATTAATATTATCCCTTCTGTACATTATTTTAAACCAAATTTTTATCCTTTTTCAGAAAAATAAGAAATGTTGCTCAAAAAGAAGTTTAGCATTCAGTGCTGATTCAGCAGATGTTTCTCTCAACGAGGGGCATGCCGGCCCCTAAGTAGTCCCTTCCTCCCCATTCCCTACATAGATTTCCTTTGTGCCAGATGGAGAGAAGGCAGAAACTCGAATGCCAATGATGTAAAACAAAGGCTGAACACAACATATATCTCAAAGCCTACGCTGAAGCTAAAGTAAACAACAAGTGAACCTTCCTTTCAATTTCCATTGAAGTTTCCAAATCTCACCTCAAGGAACTATCCAAGTAAACTGCTTCTTCATCAGTCCTGAGACTACAGCCTGCATCAGAACTACCAACCTACTTCACTGAAAAGATCTTTCACATTCAGGAAGGCTTCCTAAAGAGGAGATAACTTACTTGTAATTGGAAATTCTTCAAAATGTAGGTCCCCATCTGTATTTCACTGTGGGTTATGCATGCGCACCA